ATATATATATATATATATATATACAGTATATATATATATATATTATATGGTTATATAACAGAAACAACTGAAATCATAAAAACACCTTTAAACTCACCAATCAGACGCCACAAACACAAACCGAGCCAAAATCTGTGAAACATCTTCAAAGGTTTCAGTCCACTAATATGAAAAGACAAACTCTTCAAAAAATGAGTGACGCGCTGATGCGAAGCGCCTCTGTAATAAAATGAGGTGACCAACATCTAAAATAACTACAAGTGTTAATACACGTGACCATCTTGCAGTTTCTTTCACACTTCACACTTTGAGCTTCAGTAGGCCTCGGCTTCCTGTAAATCAATTACATAATTTTCAACAGAAATAGACTGACCCATAACGTATTAAAAGTGTTTTAAAGCAATAGTATCCTCTTATCGTGAGATCCTGAGAGTGTTTGGCTCTGCTCTCTCCTGTTACTGTCTTCAGCTCATTTCTTGTTCATCTCTTATCAAATGTCTCAATTGTTTCTCTTCTCAGACTGATTTCAGAGTTTCTCTAATGACTTTATGGAGGAGGAACAGATCACCTGTTAGAACTGTGTATAGAATAGTCTTCTCTGATATGAAAATAAGATTAATATTCAACTTCTATGGATTACAACACTGCTGTGACCTCTGTTGTGTGAATATGTGCATGATCTTTTTCAACTCTTCTGGCTCTGATGTCATAAACCAGAAGAATGACAGTAGCCACGCCCACCAGAGCAGAGAGGACCAATCGGATCACAGCTTCAGTAGAACCACAACAGTGGACAGATTCTAAGGAATAAAAACATCAAACTGAGATCAGCTCAGTCAATAAGTGATGTTTTATTAATAAATTTCAGGAGGAGCACACGCAGATAATTAACACGTCCAATCCATCATCAGTAATTACACCATCTATCCAACCAGCACAAGAGAGAACCCCTATAAATAATCAAAGCAGTCTTACCTTCATTATCTTTAGTCTTTCAGCATTCGGTTTGCTCCTTTTGCCATTTTACCACTGACCCAATTTCCCGTCCAATGAAGAGACCTATACTGGGTATTTTTCGGATCCAGTGTCCGCTCCCGCAGGAGCCGTTATATGTATTTCCCCACTGCCACAGCAGTGTCAGCTCCCGCAGGAGCCTCTAGCTCTCTCTTCTAAAGCCACAGCAGTGCCGCTACTACAAGCGACGTCCAGCACCCCACCAATCTTAAGCTTTGCAAATTTTGGGGGGATTATCAACGCCCCTCTCTGGCTGCTGTCCCATGCTAATTGCATCTTTGGGGGGAGTGCTCTGGGTCCAGGCTAAAAGCCGAGCTCGGACCCCTCTCCACGGACAGGGGGAGAACCCCGGGCTCGAGAGTAATTACCGAGCTCGGAGCCCTCTCCCCGGACAGCACGCCAAATACGCATAACCTTTATCCAGTTTATTATATGTATGTATATGTCTTAACCAGTTCGTCAGTTGACAAAACTAGCAATTTGCCCCCTCAACTTAAAAAAAGGTGTTCAATCAATTTAATAATGATATCACGTTCTCAATGTCACTTATCACGAGATCTCGTGAAGAGTTGCAGAAAAAAAGCAAGTACTAGGCTTGTTTGAGATGCGCCTCGCCTCGCCTGAAATGTAGGCGAGAGTAGTGAGGGGAGGAGTGAAATTAGTGCAGTCAAGACGGACAGTTCTGATCTCTCGAAGTGGAACAGATACCCACGAGATCAAAGGCAGATATCACTTATTCTCACTCATGTGCTGTGCTGCTGATAAACATGATATGATTTCAGTTCTGTTGCTTTTATATTAAAATAGACATGATAAACAAGACACCCAAAGTGCTTGCTATTTAATTCCATACACTGTAAAAAATTACCATGAATTTAACGGTAAAAGACTGTAAAAATGCTACAGTAAAAACCTGTTAAATTGTTAACGGTAAATTCCCCTACTATATACGGTGAAAAATTGTATTGGACATTACATGTAATTTTACGGTAGTATACCGTTTTTGGAAGCGAAAAAGAACCTAAAATGTTGCTACCATATTTTTTACGGTAAAATTCTGGCAACCACAGCTGCCGTTTTTTTACCGTAATTTTACGGATTTTTTTTACAGTGTCTGAAAGGCGTCTTTATCATCCATTTTTACTTTAATACAAACATGTATTTTCGATTTTTATAGAAATATGACATCAATCACATACCTCGCACTGTCATAGTGTTTAGGAATATTCATGCATAATTTAAACACATAATCACATGAAATCAGATAAAAAAATTAAACATTTTAGAAGAGAACACAGCATCACGGTTGTCTGAACCAATGAGCATTAAGCTGTGTCGTCAGCCAGTCGTTTCCCATCATGCTTTTGATCAGCGCAGTCGGCGGAGAACATCTGCGCTCGACTGCGCAATCCGACACGATGTCTTTAAAATGCATGCGCCATGCGGACTCTGATTTTAACCAACAGTAGATGGCGATAATGCTCTATTTAAAACAAATAACAAATAAATAAAAACAAATAAGAGACTCTGATTTTAATACCGGATGTTTGTAATAGGCATCCTTACTGTTTGAAAACAAAGAGTAATTCAGTAGAAACAAAAGCAGCAAGTCAGTAAGCATAATTTATGTTTTCATTACATCTTTTTTTTTTATTGTCTTGATGTTGTATATGTATATGCATTAATTATTTTGGTACATCTATAAATAACTAAATGTAGGCTAATTAAATAATTATATTATAAGTGATTTATGGTGGCTTTCATTTTTTTATTACCGGCTAAATTATCTAATTTTCATAAGCAGGTCCTTCTCGCCTGGGCTCTATTATACTTGCACAACTTTTCCCCTCATAAATATTTTATCTGGAAGAACTGTGATATTCTGTATAAAAACAAATCTCTTTTTTGCCAGCGTTGGTTTGAGGCAGATATCTTACTCGTAAATCAGTTATTTAATGACAATGGCCAATAATTAAATTATAAAGAATTTCTTTTTCGTTTTAATATCCCCATTACCCCTAAAGAATTTGCTATTGTTTTTGATGCCATAACATCTGGAGTTATTAGACTGTTTCAAATGACCCCCTATCCTTCTATTTTACCTTCTTTAGATCCTACTATTTCAGTGCTCTTCTGCCTCTTCTTCTAATAAATCAATACGTTTCTTATTTCTTAATGATTTCGTATCAATTCCAAATATTACGGTTTATTGGAATGCTTTTGTCTCTGATATCGCCTGGAGGAAAGTTTGGTTGATTCCAAATAGATTCTTAATTACTAATAAGATAAAAGCTGTTTCTTTTTGAGTTATCCATCGTATATATCCTGCTAATTCTTTCTTAAAGAAATATAATAGTGCATTTATTTTGGCACTGCCATTACCCTAAATTGTTATGAAAAAAACAGTTAATGAACTTTATTTGTTATTGAGAATATTGATAAAGCTTTTTCTTTACTTTGAGAAAATGTTTTGTTTGGTTTTGTTAATTAAAAAAAGTGCATTTACAGAAAAACAAATTGTACTTACTTAATCTCCTTATTTTGTTAACAAAGTTGTATATGCATAAATGTACATTTTCATGTCAGAAGCCAGTGTTTTATGTTTTGCTTGCTGAAGTACAGCATGATTTTGAGACTCTTTCTAACTCATGTAATAAGAAGGCTTTTAAAAAAATTGAAATTTGTAAGCTGTTTAATCTTTTCCTTTGAATGCAATGTGTTTCGTTTAATTTCATACCCCTGTCTAGTCATTTATTTGTTTTGTTATTATAATTTTTTATTTATTCAAATGTATTTTTATTATTATTTTATTTTGTATTTTTGTATTGCAACTGCTTTCTATTTTGGTTGACATAATGTTCATAATAATAAAAAAGACACTCTCATTATTTCAGTGTATATGCAAAACAGTTTTTTATTTACACCATCAATCATGCACCTGGTGTGTGAATGTGTGCTTGATCTCGTTCAGCTCTTCTGGAACTGATGTCATAAACCAGAAGAATGACAGTAGCCACGCCCACCAGAGCAGAGAGGACCAATCGGATCACAGCTTCAGTAGAAC